ATATTGCCCACACTGGCCCTTTTATTCCAGAGGAGTCATAAAGGCTTCTGACAATTTGATTGGGAAGGTGGATGGTTGAAGAGAGGCCCAGGTTTGTGGCAGGCTTTATAAAACTGGAATTGTTCTTGGCTATTTGAAGAAAGATTTATGACTCCAAACCCAACTTTATCTCTGAGTAAGATTCCTGTCATTGGTGGCCATCCATTAGCCTTTGACTCTGAAAAGCACTGAATTGCACAGATTAGACATATTTAAGTGTTTGGGGGAATTAATTTAACAACGATCAGTTCCTACACTTTGCCCATTATTGAAGATACGGGATTCTTCATGATCACTTTTACATATAAATGTATTTTTTTTATGCCCTGAATCCCAAAGCTGCTTTAGTAGAAAGAGATTGCTTATGCTATGTATCCCTAATGCCTTGGAGGCGATAATTATTCAATAAGTGGACCAAGGGTGGGAGGGAGGAAGGAGCCCCACCCTCCCCACTCCAACCTGGGGGAGTCCGTGGCCGTCAGGTGTTCCATGGTGGTTCCTAGTACCTGGTACTGTTCTGCTGCTTAACACGTGAAGGTGGAGATAAGTGATTTGCCAATGGTATCATTTCAGTGGTCCCCCTCATGTGTATGTGTAGGACTGAGAGCCAGTGGAGTTAGAGTCAGACCAGGTCCCCAGCCTCGGCTCCACCCCACATTAGCGCTGTATGCTTGGAAAAGTTGTGTGCTGTTGCGAACCCCCAGTGTCTACATCTTAAATGGGAGTATGATACCTAAAGTATTAGGATGATTAAATGAGATCACATAGGTAGAATACTCTGCGTAGGCCAGACTTACAGTAGTAAATGCTTGGAAACTTAAAAAATTGTTTCTTCTGAACTCCCAACTATATTTCAGCCATTCTGTTTTTGTTTCACATTAAATTGGTCCAACAGTCTGCCTTTAAAGATTGAGGAAACGTTGAACTTTATCTACTGCCATCACCATTTAGTAATGTAACATGTCAATATACATCAGACGTACCCTGCCCATTCTTGCTCTCTGGATTCTGGCATCCCACAGCTCCTGTCCTGTGTCATTAAAGGCAGATCTGTGGCTGATTGACTTGTGTAAGTTACCTCTCTTCAGTTTATTCTTTGTAAGTCACAGGTATTTTCTTGGTGGTTTTCTCAATTCCTCTCTTCACAGCTTTCTCTGGGATTCGCTACTCTCAATTGCTTACCATATTTAACCCTCAGGACAACCCTTCCAGATGGGTATTCTTCCTGTTCTATAAATGAGGGGACCAGGGAAGGTGTGTTTTTTTTAAATTGATTTTGAGAGAGAGAGAGGAAGGAAGAGGGATAGAGAAAAACAGCGCTGAGAAGCATCATCGATTGGCTGCCTCGGGCACGCCCCCTACTGGGGATCAAGCCCGAAACTTGGGCATGTGCCTGGACCGGCAATCGAACCCGTGACCTCTTGGTTCATGAGGCATGTGCCTGGACCGGCATTCGAACCCGTGACCTCTTGGTTCATGAGTCGATGCTCAACCACTGAGCAGTACCGACCAGGTGAGGGAAGGTGTTCTAGTACAGACTGTCCTCCAGAGCCACATCCCATAACAAACGCAGCTGAAGTGTGAGAATCCCATTGGCTCACTTACTAACTCCTTGAACCAGACTTCAGACAGCTCTGCATGGTCCAGTTTGGCAGTGGACGCTGGCTTTCTGCTTCTGTTTGGTTATGTCTAGGACTGAAAATGCCTTTGAAAAAGAGTTGGAGTGGGGGGGGAGTACAGGTGTGTTTGTGGACGAAATAGGCATTTCAGACTCTTCATATGCTCATTTCTGTAGCTCTCATTCAGATTAAGTTTTCATTCAAGAAGTCTCCATGTACCCAATCAGCCCACGTTTACTGTGCCCTGATGTGGAGAACACACTGTACTGTGCATTTGGAGGAAGCTGTAAAAGAAAAAGAAGTTGTGGACCCTGCCCTTAAAGAAATTTCTGGCAAATGGGGAGAAAAAAATTCTTGCCCATGAAATTACTGATGAACATTTGGGGAATAATATCAACCAGTAAAAACGCATTCTGTGCCAGACAAGTACTGACAATTTGTCACCATATGTAACATAGTTTGGATGTTTCCTTACATATGATCATTTGTTCTGCAGGGGTAGGGCTGTTTCCCCGCTTTAGTCAAAAGAATGTTTTCCTAAGCATAGTGTCTTGGGAAGGAGAGAGAAAAAATATAGAGATTTAAAAAAAGGAAAGCTACTGAAAAATGAAAGAAGTTTTAAAATCCAGTGACTTCCCAAAGAACAGGGCAAGATAGTTTATCAAATTCAAAGCCATGGGTAAGATCAAGGTTTTTCAGTACATTGTGAGTTTTATGGCCTTCTTTCATTGGTTTAGATCGACAAATCCTCAACCCCTCCCCCCTTTTTAATGTTTTTATTGATTTCAGAGATAGGAAGGGAGACAGAGATAGAAACATTGATTAGAGAGAAACATTGATCGGCTGCCTCCTGCATGCCCCCTACTGGGGGTCCAGCCCAAAACCTGGGCATGTGTCCTGACTGGGAATTGAACCAGTGACCTTCTGGTTCATAGGACGATGCTCAGCCAACTGGGCCACGCTGACTGGGCAAAATCCTCAACCCTTAAATATAGTTCTTAAAAGGGGAAGTGTTAGAATTCTCTCACTTTGGGGTTTTTTTAATATGTAAAATCAAACAAAAGCAGAATAGTCTGGCTTTTATGAAGCTGGTCAGATTATAGCCCATGGGACAGGTAAACTGAGAGTGAGTCTGAGCTCTATGGCAACCCTAAAAATCCCAGAGCACCTTGGGGATTCTCAGCAGATTTTAGCTGACAATTAACTGGCAGACTCTAAGTGAATCTCATTAGCCAAGCCTTGGCCTCTTCTAAATTCCTAACTTTGGTGGCTTTGCTTAGCACCTTGGTGTTTCTTTTCTGTTGCTCTGATGTTTATATAGCACCCTCAACTTATTTTGAAAACATTTACATAGTGATTACTTAGTCCAACAGACCAGCTCTGGGAAGATAGCCAGAGCCAGCAGTACCTTAGTAATAGAAAAACTGATAATTAGGAGGAGAGACCTTCTGATACCAGGAGTCTGGACCAGAATGGTGCCACTGCTTGTTAATGAGTGGCCCCTGTAAAAATTGAGTTACGTGGCAGAGCTGGATGGAATCCATCTTCTGAGTCCACCTGGTTCAGCTGAAACCCTTGGGAAGATCGTGGCTCTCTTTTACCTCGTCATGTTCTGAACAGTTGTCTGTGGAAAGAAAGCCACACAACCTAGAGCATCCCTGATTTGTATGGAAGGCTCTCTTATTTTCAGTGCTGGCCGTGTTCAACACGTGTCCCATGTTGTAATGACCTGCTCCATGGAACATCACCTCTATTCAGAGTTTTCTGACCCAGGGCTCGGTTTACTTAAAGGTGCTGCTTTTCAAAGTAGAATGGTGTTTGCAGGAGCTGGGGGAGGGGAATGGAGGAGCTGCTGTGTTGTGGGTGTAGAACTTGTCATGCAAGATGAAAAAGATCTAGAGACCTGCTATACAACAATGTGCATATAGTGACTAATACTGCACATTTAATTTTTTATTAGGGTGGATTTCACGTTATATGGTTTTTATCACAGTAAAAAATTATATTGGCAAGATAAATAAAATTTTTATAAAAGGTGCTGCTTTTTACAGTCAAGGGCTGGTTCTGAGAGCCTTGTTTCAGAAAGCTGAGGTCGCTGTCTCAAGGGTATATGTCGTGCTTGGCTTCCATTGCATCATGGTTGAAGGTACCTCCAGATACGCAGGTGGCAGACTTTGATTGGAAGTCCTAACACATTAGAAATGAATTGTTGTGCAAGCCAGTCTGTCAAACTCAAGGCTGAGAGCATTCTCTATCAGCTCTCATAAAAAAATGGATTTCATTCTTCACATATGGTATACCCAGTACTTTACGGTGTATATTTTTAGTAAAAATGATTGTGAGAGTTATTGATACTCCATGTTATTATCCCAAATGGAAAAACAGAAGGTCTGGGATTTGGGTGGATCAGAGAGGTGGAAGGCAGAGTAACCAGGTGAACAGAGGTGCGATGGCCTAGATGCTAGAGGTCCCCTGAGACTCTGTATGATTTGTATGATCTGTGGCTCCTTGGAACCTCACTGTCTGAAAGGTTGGAGTATTGTTTTCTCCTTTCTCTAGGCAACTAAGCATTACCTAACCCTCCCTGGGACTAAAGCCAGCTTCAGGGAATACTCTTCCTGTCACACCTCATGTAATTGCACCATTGGTTAATTGAGTTGCTTTTTGAGGAACTTGTGGAAAAGGCATTTGGTGCCTTGTAAACAGAGAGGTGGTTTTGTATCAGACGTATTCATCCAGTGCCTCCTGCTGCGACGCTCTGGTCTAACTACAAAGGGCGTATCCAGGCTGCGGAAGAAGCAGCTCACCCGAGCCAGCAGCTTGCAACATCTGGGCAGGTTGGCTGGAGCTCATGGACTTGCACGGAAGCTCTGGCCCTGTGGTCTGTTGGCACTAACAGCTACTTTATTTGAAAGTAACAATTACTTTATTTGGCTGCCAGAAGTGGTCTTTCACTGTAAATCCTGGGCCAGATGAGCTGATAAAAGAATCGCTCTTAGTCTTGAGTTTGACAGACTGGCTGGCCGCCTCAGGGGGTGCCTTTCTGCCTACAAGACTTCCTCATTCTGGTCATGTTAGCCTTTGGTGACCCACCCGACCTTGTGGGTGACCTGACCTTGTGGGTGTGCCCCGTGCAAGTGTAGGGGGCAGGTCCACTGGCTAGGGCTGGGTCCTGGAGAGACCGGTGGTCTTGCTGGTGAGTGTGCAGCGTTACCTCTCCTGCTGGCCCTGCCCAAGGTCCTGATCCACCGGCACAAGGGGGCCAGGGCATGCAGATGGTAGGACTAGTATGCCGAGGGGTGGCAGTGGCAGGATTCCAGGGGCTGCCACAACCTGTCCTTGTCTCTGTCCTGCACAGGTGAGCGCTGTGGGCTATGGGATGGATGAGGTGGAGCAGAACCAGCATGAGGCCCGACTCAAGGAGCTGTTTGACAGTTTTGACACGACGGGCACTGGGTCTCTGGGACAGGAGGAACTCACCGACCTTTGCCACATGCTGAGCTTGGAGGAGGTGGCCCCGGTGCTGCAGGAGACGCTGCTTCAGGACAACCTCTTGGGCAGGGTAAGGCCTGGGGAAGAGCATGACAGTGGGAAGTGGGTGCGGTTTCTGTCGGGGCCTTGGGGGTGGGGCAAACCACGCCTGTTGCAACTTCTAACATCCTGGCCGTGTGTGGCCTCAGCTCTTAACCTGAGAAACAGATGAAATGTAGTGGGTGTGATGCACAGTGCAGCTTGCTCAGGAGACGAGGCCTGCTGTAATCTGCGCCCTGGGAAGATGTGCTTTGAGATCTTAGCTAAAGAGAGGAAAGGAGGTAACGAGAGGATGGTCTCCAACTTTTTTCTTAAAATGATCCTTTGTGGATCATTTGATGGACTCCATTTTCGTCACTGAGGCGGCAGGTAACAGATTTCCAGGGACAAGAAGGGAAGTGCAGCAAGGAAACTGCCATTCACGGGAAAAGCAGATTGCGGTTATGACTTCACTCCCCATAAAGCGATTTCTTCTGTGGATTGCTTCTGGGGTGAAGTATTAATTAAACTTTTACCCAGGAAATAAGGCAGGAGAGTAAGTAAATACAGTGCAGGCTCATTTAAAACCCAGCACGACTCACTTCCAGCAGGGACGTGTGCGCGCTGATGTTAACTTCTGTGTTCGATGACAAATAGTCACGTTCTCCCCATAGATCCGGTCCCGGAGATGAGTGCGAGGTTTCCTCTTTTCCCTCTTGCCCTTAGTGGGAAGGACGTTTGATCCGTCACAACGGGATATTGCCTTCCATGCTCATAAATATAATTAAGGGCATCATTGTATGGCTTTGGGGTGAGCCTTGCTGTTAATTTTTTGAATGGATGAGAGGAGCAAATGGGCAGTACTTTCTGAGCTCTGTGGCTGGCACTGCCTCACTTTTAGACAGTGTTTCTATCGTGGGGTGCGAACTGAGGAAGCAGTCAGGAAGCTTTGCTTCGTTTAGCTTTCGTTGCCTCTGAGCGGACAGGTTGGGCAAGTGACCTCAGATACCGAGTGATGTATGGGCTCTCTGATGTGAGACAGGCGGGAGTAGCGACCACCCTGACGTTAATGCACAAAGGATGATATTCTCAGGGGGTCGGCACCACAAATGTGGGGTTTAACAGGGCTCACCCTTGAAGGAAAAAATAAGTTTTTGCAAAACTAGGATCATTCTTCGCCACTTTGGAGGAGTTAGCTACTTGTGAATACATGTGGTCCCCCCAGAATGCTAAAAATTTTGCTTTGCAAACAGAAACGGGGGTTTGAGGATTAAACGGGGGTTTGATGCATTTCTCATCATGTAACGCGCTCAGGTGTTTTTTAGTTCTGCCTCGATCCCAGACACCCTGGGGAGCCCGAAGAGTAGCTTTTCCCAATGCGGTCCTTGGAGATCTCAGGCTCTTTGGTGTCTAAGGAATAGTATGAAAAGAGTGGGTCTCACTTACCACTTGTGAAAGCCCGAGAAGACATAATAGAACGTAAGGTTTCCTTGAGAGCTCGTGCTGGAGTCGGTGTAAATGTGGGAGCCCCTGCCGCGAACAGATCACACCTCAGCAGCAGGTTGGCGGTTTGCTCTCCAGATGTCGCACATCTTCGCCCTCAGTTGGCAAAACTGAAACAGGGGAGCAGCTATCGATTGATTTGTTAACGACCTGACATCACCCCCCTGCTTTCTGTGTCTGCTGTTTGCCTGTGAATAAGGAATACCTAAGTGGCCTGTAGCGTGATATTTACTTAGTGAGCCCGTGATAAAAGTTAAATAGATGTCTGCATATTGATTCCATGTGGGAGTCCCTGCTGATTATCTTGAGAGCAGGGTTGGCATGAATTAATGCACTACTGTTAAATTTGCATTTTTTATGAAATTGAATTATTTTCCTCAGATGATCACATAAACTTCGCCATATGTTGTTAGGACACTCTATATGGTCTGTCATTTTACATTATAGGGAAAAAAATTCCATAGAGGTCACAGAAGCAATCCATGTGCTAGCACCTTCTTGGTATATTGAGTAGTCCTAAGTTGTAAAATTATATGTTTTTAATGCCAGTCATCTTCTTCTCTTCAGATATTATTTATAGAGACCTTATCAGGGTTAGGAGTTTGGCTTAATAAAACAGGAGAAAGAGATTGTAGCATGACATCTAAATCTGTTCGTCTATTAATTAATTCAACTGATGTGTGTTGTGTTGTATGCTTCCTGCATGTCAGGCATTCTGATAGTCTTATGGGTGCAACTTACAGTTATGGTAAACTACAGTTTTCCATTAAATTGGCATTTGGATACATTAGTACCTATCAGCTTCCTGGTTTTAATTTTATCTTTTAAACCTTAGCAAATACAGTTTTTAAATAAAATAAAACTTGTAAGTTTACCTTTATTGGAATGGGCCTCAATCATTTTTCCTTGAAAATAAATAAGATGAAAGGTACTGCCCTTTCCCAACTAAGAGCATGAATATTGTCTATTTTTTTATTTTAAAATCTATCTTGAATAACTTTGTTCTTTTTTCCTTAAAGCCTCATGTTTCTTTTGACAGTTGTTAAGGAAAGTAACTTAAATCAACTTGCCATTTTCATGCATTTACTAATGGACCATTTACCCCCAAATTAGGCTTCAGTTCACCTGTCCAATCTTGATTTATGGCTTGAAGCCCTGTCCCCCCACCCCCTGCACAGTGGTTATACAGGGTGGGGCAAGAGTAGGTTTACAGTTGTGAGTGCACAAAACACAGTTTATTCTTTATTATTATTTATTAATTATTTTCTGTAAGAACAACTGTAAACCTACTTTTGCTTCACCTGGTACGTAAGTGTTTGAAATGCCTAAAGATTGTGAATCACCAGTTTGAAGCGAAAGAGGGCATTGCTGGTAGGCGTTTGCTACTAGTTTATCAGAAGAGTCACATTCATATCTTTGTCAAGGGACTCAAGACACCAGAGAATTTATAGTCTGGTCACATAATGTACCTGGCGATACTGGGAGCAAATACTACAAACATTTGAAAAAGGGAACCACATTAGCTCTTTTATTGAACTAAGTTTTCATCTAAGCATTTGATACCCATTGTAGGTGCTTCCTGGTTTTGTGTCTTTTGAATGAAGTGTTCCCATATGCCTCTCTCTCTCTTTTATTAGAAACCTGGACATAAATATGATAATTTACCTTGGTTTTATTGAAGCCTTTAATTGTATCCTGTTTTTAAAAATGCACGTTCCTTTTATTATGGAATATACCAACTTTGAGACTAAACAGCCCCCTTTGGTTTTGATGAGTTTCCTTGCTGTATTATTTAATATGAATCTGGCTGCTGAAGGGCCCCATGCCCTTTGCACCTTCTAGAATCTGGACAAGCTGCCTGGAAGCAGAACTCATCATTGTTTCCAAAGAGCTCCATAGGTATGTAGACTTCGGTCATCAAAGGCACTTTGAAATATTTTAGTATTAAAACTTGATAGTTGTACAAATATATAATTTTTCTCAGCTTTCCCACCATTTATTTTAAAGTGCTTAGAGTTCTTTTAAAAATGTCAAGATTAATTTCACATGGAGGATTGCTTTTTTGTTGTTTCCATTTCATTAAAAGCTTTTAAAGGTTTTTTTCCTCTTATACACATTTTAATCATTTGAAAAGTAAGTCAGACATACAGAAGTACTTCCTAATTTTTAGAGAGAGAGAAACAAACATGGATTTGTTATTCTACTTATTTATGCATTTATTGGTTGCTTCTTGTGTGTGCCTGACCAGAGATTGAACCTGCAACCTCAACGTGTCTGGATGACACTCTAACCAACTGAGCTACCAGGCCAGGGCCCAGAAGTACTTTCTGGTGGTGATCGTTTGGACTTGTTCTCTGTGTGCAAAATTACGCTTGATCATCAAATAGTGTCTATTTATCACTACCTCGTGTTCATGCTCCTGTTTCATATAATTGATCTGAGGCTTTTTTGAGTGCATTGGAAGGAATGGCAGAAACATTTCTCATTGCACCTCTTAAATGTCTGTACCTTTGCCGAATCTCACTGTTTAACCGACATAGAGTAACCTGAAATGGTGAAGGACATTTTCTGATTCCTAAGTTGACCTTGTGACTCTGGGTATCTCTCCATCACTCCCTTCCTTTACAACAGTCTCATCTGGGGTTGAATTAAACTCCTAAGGGCCTGTGGTTCCCATTTATAGACAAGAAGCCATTCTGAGTCAGAGGCTACAAGACTAGTTTCCATTCTGTATGAGCACTTTCTTGTCAAATTCATTGCAAAACTAACATTGGTTTTGCAATACAGTGAGCCTTGAGCCTCTCAGAGGTATTTAGTCTGACAGAAGCAAGGGCGTAGAGGAGAGCTGTTGGGAGGCCTTGTGCTCTCAGCAAGAATTGGGAACAAGCACCAAATAGCTTTTCTCTTCTACCTACTTTATTCAGTCATGATCATCTCTTTCGCCAGAGAAAGTATGGTCAGGAATGCTCACTAAATTCCCACAATATCTCACTGATACTTTTATGAGTAACATCTTGTCTGGATGAGGGGACTTAAAGTTCTTCAGTGTCCATCACAGATTTTTAGACTTAAATGTTCATCTATATGACAGAGAAACCTGGAATCCAGAACTTGGAAAAGTACAGTGACGTACGCAAGGTCAAGCAGCTTACTTGAAGCAGCATCAGAATGGAAACTCAGATTTCCTAGTCCCTGCGTGTGACTGCCTCTCCATAGCCTCCTCAGACTCCAAATACACAAAAATGAGTCTCATTCTCTGTCCCCCTTCAACCCACCCCCACCCCCACATCAAGACAGTATACTATGGGGGCACAGTCTTTAAAAGTCAGATCTGGATTCATATACTGACTCTTGCCGAATTGCAGCCATATGGGCATATTATCTTAAATACTCTGAGGCTCAGTTTATTTTTCTGTATAATGGGAAAAATAATACCCTCCTCATAAGATTATAATGAGGGTTGACTTAGATTGTGCATTTCAGAGAGCCAGGCACACAGTTAACTATTATGCTCTGTATCTTCTTTCTTCTCTCCTAGAATGGGTCTTT